AAAAATAATAAATAAAATCAACAGAAAAAAAAGAGGTAGAAAAAAAGCGAAGCAGCTATGCCAACAAACGGGTCTTTTTAACAGCCACAGCGCTTCGGACTCAGTCAAGTGTTGTCGTCGCTTGCTTATCTCTGTCCCGACCCGTCCCGTCCCGTCCCTCCGCTGCCCTACCCTACCCCCTGGCAACCCTACAACACACACACACACGCACCACACACTCGTGTATGTAGAAAAACTGATAACGAAGTGCGCTCCGAAGCATGTAAGCGGTCGTGTGTAAATAGGAGAGCAGCAATACTCTACACCCCACCCCCATCTCACTGGCAGGCCACCTGCCGCCTGCCCTCTTTTACCCATCGTTTATCTATTTGATTGTTGTCTGTTTCGGAACACCGTTATAGGAACTCACTCTCTGGTGCTGTAACTGTGTTCTGGGTCTGTTTTATGTGTCTTATCAATCTTTGAACCGTTATCTACAAGTTTGTGTTTTCGTTCTCGTTCTCTTTATTTCTCTTTTTTGCACTACCAATATCGAGGAATATGCGGACATGTCCCGTCATTATGCAAAACCAGATAAAGAATATGCTGACATCATACCGAAAATAAAGAATGGTAATAAATAGGGTTCTAAATTACCATTAACAGTACTATTAGATGTATTATTTGAAGAGGTTAGAGGTGTGAGTTCTATACTATCCATTTGAAGCTTTGATTAATGAAATAAGCTGCTTCCCATCTACCGCTCACTCTCAAGAATGATAATATCCTTAATCACATCTTACGGCAAAAATCTAATACAATATAGATCCAGAACAGCATTAAAGAAAGCTTGAAACGAAAGGGAAAATCCATGGGAAAAACCAGCTTAACACGCAGGAAAAGAGCAGAATCCACGGCGATAGAAAGAGAAAAACAACGAGAGTGCATGAGTAAAGGAGAGCGAGATACAAGAATAGAGAGGGAGAGCATGCATAATGGGTGGGTGGCGCTGCTCAAACAAATGCAATGACCTGAATTTGGAGCATTTTGTGCAAGAAAATGTGGCAAAGGGGCGCCGGGAAGAATGCGAGAAAAAGCGGCAGCAGAAGGACAAGAAAACACAAGTGTTTGAAATATAAGAAAACGTAAGATTTTCGAAATAAGTCCACGGAAACTTACATTTAGGACAACAAATTGTCACCCCCACCGTTTAAAAAAAAATAATTAACAAATGTTCCCTAGATTCTCTTCATTTGAATCCCCATTCACAACCATCTCTCACTGAAAAGGGTTATTCCCCCACTCCCCCTACAAAGTTTACGGTACAAATATTAAAAAAAAAAAACCCGTAAACATGTGTTGCCAAAAACATAATAAAATTGAAGAAAAGGCGCGGCAACTGCGACGCTAGCGTCTGCGTCGACGTCAACGGCGCAGGCGACAAGTGTTTACAAAAAATTTCGGGGCCGAAAACTGTAACTGTAATTCTTGTTGCCCCTGCCCCTGCCCCACGTCCCCTGCTGCGCATGAATGTATGCGTATGCCATGGCGTGTCCTTGTGCCTAACACAACAAAAGCAGCAGAAGCAGCAACAGCAACAGCAGGAGTGCGAAGGAGAGAGAAAGCAGAGAAGTGACTGAGTAAAGTGTTGAGGGGGGCCCAGGCCACGGTATATTCACAAGAAGGTCAGGAAGTCCAAGAAAACGGTCTCCAATCGGCAGCGTATACTGACAATACCGTGAAGTAGGAATTTAACATACTTTTTCCACAACAAATCACTGCTTTTTTATAATTAAGCGTTCACAAAAAAGCAACTATAATGCTAATTTGCGAATCCCTCACCCCACATAAATCTACCTTGCAAAGGGCCACCCACTCATTTTGCTGTTGTCAAAGTCTACACTTGCCTTTGGGTTCGCTTTCCTCTCTCTTTCTCTCTTTGCCAATCCAGCATTCCTTTCCGCGAGGGGGGAGTGGAGTGGTTGTGCGTAAGCGCGGGGAAAGCAGAGCAGGGTGTGCGGTGGTTTGGGGTGTGTTCCGGAATTTACGTGCTTATTGAATTTTCAGCCCAAAAACGAGTTGCGCAAAAAAGAACCAAGAGCTGGGCTGAGGCTGTTGAGCGGCAATTAATTTCAATTAAATTAAGATCCGGGGCTAGAAATTTCTCATGGATTTTTGGCTGTTGCTCCGGTTTTCTTCTTTTGCGATGCTGCGCCCTTCACACAAAAACATATATACACACAATAGAGCGAGAACTTAGGGAACTTTTTACGCATAAAAATTTTATCAAGTGACAAACTGAAAAAAACGCGCCCTCGAGCAAATGAACGGTGAAAAACCATCGGGTACACACTATTTTCTTTTGTCAATCGCTGTATTCCACTTGCACGCTAATTTTGTCCACTGTTCGAAGGCTTGCAACGCGTTAATAGATGCAATTTTATTGCATTTCTGCTGAGGATTGGCTGCGGCGACCCGTGTGTAGAAATTTCTCGTCCCGCTCACGACAACGCCATTTTTCTTTTGAGCCAGCTGAGGAGTGTGACCGTTTAAGAGTAATCACACACCTTGCAATGAAATACTGAAATCGAAATCGATGACCGGGTTTTCTCAGCTGATTTTAGCCCGATAACCGAAGTCTGGAATCGATAAAGGCTGTTTCTTAGATGCATATTTGCGGTATATTGAAAAGTGTGACCTTCTATTTCTGTATTCAAAACCATACCAAAATCATAGAAAGACAACTGAAAGATCCTGGAACGTCGCGAATCCTGTGGAAGGCAGCTTCATGTACTTGAGAGAGCCCTAAGACTTCATACGCTGCTCAGCGATGGGCGTATCCACCACAAGAGGAACAGAGGTGACAGAGAAAAGCCGTTCGACATTGCCATGGGCATCATTGGGCTTCTGCTCCTCTGGACCTACTCCTACTACGACAGCATTAACGTGACCAGGTAAATCCCTCTCTCTACTATTCACCCGCGTAATTTTGCTCCTAAAACGTTTCCTCTTCTAGGTTTCTGGGAGAATCCGTAGGCATCATCGGTACCGGGGACTCGGAGAAGCCTCGCAACACTGCCGTGTATGAAGTGTCTGCTCTTCTGGACAGATGTCGGCAGCCATAAGAAATCAGCCAAAGGATGACCAGGCTGCGGGTCCGTTGTCGCCCTCAACGCTTATTATGTCAGAGCGCATGTCCAAGATTTCCTCTGTGGCGGATACGGTGCCACGCTCAACATCACGTTACGTTTGCCTGCAGCACCACCACGAATGTCAGTAAAATGCTGGCCCATCAATCCCATCAATGAGCCGCCCTGCTCCACCGCGATCTGCGACTAGTCCGACTCCAATTAAAAGAGCAAAGAGATACAGGAGGAGGAGTTGGAGCATGGCTTCGCCAAGCATCCCACCGAACACCAATTTTTTTTATAGATTGATTCGAAATTTTTAAATACACTTGTGCAGGTTCGTATTATTTGGTTGCTCTAGCTCTTATAGTCTCTGAGCACTAGACGCTCATAGGGACGGACAGACAGACATGGCTTAATCGACTCGCTCAAGAATTGGTTCTGCCGACCGTAATTATAAATTGTATAAAAATTAAATTTATGACGGGACAAACCTTCACAACGTAGGAGCAACACCAATAGAGAGTAATATTAATTATAGTTGAGTTACACAGTGTAAGACCTTCAAAAAGTATATTATTTTATCCAATCTATATGCCTGAGGATATACAAATTCTGGACAGAAAGAAAAAATTATGGTACTGAACCAGCAGATTCCCGATTTATTCGACAAGAGAATAGATGCCTCCACACAACTGAACATATTACTGACTGGGAATGATTGGACTTGCCATTTTGAGGAGATAGATTCCTAGTCTGGTTCCCAGTTAAGTCTTTTAAAATATGGTGTGAAGGTCTGACTTCACAATTTATAACATTTCCTTGGAACACCTGTACTAAGTTAATGACTTGGGCATTATCTTTGTACCTAAATTATATTTTAATTCTCATATATCTGCTATTTCGAATAAACCCGAAGGAGTCCTTGGCTTTATAAAAAGGTAGTCTGAGGAATTTTCTTACCCCTATACCATAAACTAATCTACTTTTCTCTTTTCTGGTTCCTGTAGCTGGTCTCCTCACTACCAAAAATATCAAGATATGCTTCTGGTACCATATTAGTTTACAATAAATAGTTCCATAATTTTTCCGTTGATACTTATGCTTCCAATGTCAGGTCTTAATTAATGAATAGTTTAAGTTAACTTTCTTCTGTTTTCAATTGTTTAGCGAACTTGCTAGTAGTAGATAATTTATGATTTGTACATTCTTCTTTCTACACAGTTTAACTGAACTTAGAACATATGCTTCGTTCATGAGTGACTCGACCAGCCATAGGGACTCTCGATATTCTTGGTTTTCATGGGATTGATAAGCTCGGCTTCCGTTTCCTCTTCCCCGACATCAAATGACGCCTGCAGGCACTGGATGGCCATCTCAATGCTCGCGCTCTGATTGTGGGACTTTACGTCCACCTGCTTGTTCAAATAGTCTACGAAGGTGCGGACAAAACTTCGCTGCACAACTGTAGTATTTATGTGATTTACGCTGACAAATTTGTAAATACACACATAAGAAAAATAATGACCTATCTTGTCTTCTTTATTATGAGCGAATTGTCTCGCCCTCGACAACCTGTCAGTCCAGGCTTAAAAAATGGAAAGTCAAACATCGCGTGGTCCTCATGGAACATTCCTTTCAGTATGCAACAACCGCTTAGGCCCGTAAATTCAGTATACGTATTGTATTAAGGATCTTGTGACTTTGAGTATATTTCTCTTATATGGTGGTGTCATCTTACAAAATCCACGCAGGCAAAAAGTCGTCAAAAATATTTGTATGGCGTTACACATTTTACTATTCAAATAAGAATTACAATTTTAAATAGATGTATTGGATCCGCTATATAAATATATTCCGGGGAAAACTATGAGTAAATGAATATATTTTAACAAAATTTCATTCTTTTATTTTATAAATAAAGTTTATAGTTAAACGGTGCTCTATTTCAACGTGAATTTTTATTGGATGAGAGATTCGTAAAGGGAATAACCATCAATGAAGTAATGTATAAATTGAAACAAAGGAACATTGGGTTTACTTTTTGGCTCTGGACTTGGGCTTGGCGGCCGTCGAACCAGCGGTCGACTTCTTGGATCCGCTCGCTGCCTTCGACGTGCTGGCAGCCGTGGACTTCTTTTTGGCCTTGATCAGGCCATCTAGCTCTAGGTTGTCTTTATCCTCGTCCTCATCCGAGTCTACGCGATTGGTTTCCCCCTCCTCGAGGTCCTCTTCCAGGCCAAGCAGCTCCTCATCGGCGGCACCTGCCTCCGACTTTTTCTTCTTGATGTTCGCCTGGGCGGAGTAGGAATAGGCCATCACTTCCTTGTTGTAGGACCGCGTCAGGGCCGCCTTCACGCGGCCATCCACAGCATCCAGCGGGGACTTCTTGCCCGGCCGAGAGATCCTCACGCAGCAGGTGGTAGTCCTTCATTACGTCCAGTGCAGCGGACACTCCATCCTGGCCATCTTTGGCCAGCGGACGGGCTATGTTGTCCAGTAGAAAGGGAGCGTAGTCCAGCCGGACGGAAAGCCTGGAGCCGGAGGTGCAAGACCTAGTGTGATCATGCAGCTCCTGGGCTAGTCTCGCCCGTTTCGTGGTCCGCGAGTTCTTGCCCAGCCAGCCGGGGAAGTTGATCTGCCCCGTGAAGTGGCCTGCCATTTTCTCTCCCGGGAGAACAGAGCTGAAAAATGCCTGCGTGGGCAGCAGACTCCATGCGGAGTTGGCACGGATTCGTTTATCTATCATATCGCCAATACTAAGGGCATCCGCAGTGGCTGCCACTTTGCCCAGAATATCCTTTCTGAAACAAAAGATGATAAAAGTTAATAAACTGATTCCTAATAGAGGATTTACCGAGACTCACTTATTGCCCTGTGGCGTGACCTGGAGATAGTTCTGCTGGACAAACAGTGGCGCCAGACTGTAGTCGTGGAAGAATAAATCACATTTATCGGCGAAAGACATCCGCTTGTGCTCCTCGGCGGTGAAGACCTTGCGAACCACTTCCCAAGGTCCCAGCTTAAGATCTTTGGAGGCCGTCTTCAGCTCCACCTTAGCCTGCGATTGGGTGGGAATATCTTCTCCCGCACTCATCAGGGAAATGTGATTGATGGACTGGCGAATATCGTTGTTTGTGGCTGCTATGATCTCCTCGACTTTGGCCGGCGAGATCTTGACCTTCTCCTTGAAGCATATGCTCATGATCTTGCCTTTGATCTGCTCGAGACGCGGGCGCTGGAAGCGCAGGTCAAAGCAGTAGTTGACGAGAGATCGGATCTTCGGGTGATTGCGATCGTTGCACATGCAAATGATAGGTACGGAGCTGTCCTTGATAAGGGCAATTAGCTCCTGTATCCCGCCGCGATCCTCGTTGCCAGCCATGCCGTCCACCTCGTCCATGATTAGCACATGCTTTTTGATTAGCCACAGAGGGACTTCTTTCCCAGCAGCGTGGGAGCAGACGCTTGCTCCACGGAGACATTGAACTCCACCGCATCGAAGCCCAGTTCCTTGACCACTAGCGTAGCTGTCGTTGTCTTTCCTATTCCTGGTGGTCCCGACAGCAGGGCAGCCTTGTAGAAGCTACCATCGTCGTTGTTGGCCCAGGGATTGGGTCGCTGCGCCTTCTTCTTGCCATCGTGGCTCATATACCACTTGGACAGCCAGTTCATCAGCCTGCGCAGGAGATGGTTTAATAGAAGGTGGACATGGGGGTTACTTTACTCACTTGGTCACGTTGCTGGCTGCTCCGGCCTGGCCCACGATCTCCTTGATGTTCGTCGGCAAAAACGAGTTGCGCAAAAAAGAACCAAGAGCTGGGCTGAGGCTGTTGAGCGGCAATTAATTTCAATTAAATTAAGATCCGGGGCTAGAAATTTCTCATGGATTTTTGGCTGTTGCTCCGGTTTTCTTCTTTTGCGATGCTGCGCCCTTCACACAAAAACATATATACACACAATAGAGCGAGAACTTAGGGAACTTTTTACGCATAAAAATTTTATCAAGTGACAAACTGAAAAAAACGCGCCCTCGAGCAAATGAACGGTGAAAAACCATCGGGTACACACTATTTTCTTTTGTCAATCGCTGTATTCCACTTGCACGCTAATTTTGTCCACTGTTCGAAGGCTTGCAACGCGTTAATAGATGCAATTTTATTGCATTTCTGCTGAGGATTGGCTGCGGCGACCCGTGTGTAGAAATTTCTCGTCCCGCTCACGACAACGCCATTTTTCTTTTGAGCCAGCTGAGGAGTGTGACCGTTTAAGAGTAATCACACACCTTGCAATGAAATACTGAAATCGAAATCGATGACCGGGTTTTCTCAGCTGATTTTAGCCCGATAACCGAAGTCTGGAATCGATAAAGGCTGTTTCTTAGATGCATATTTGCGGTATATTGAAAAGTGTGACCTTCTATTTCTGTATTCAAAACCATACCAAAATCATAGAAAGACAACTGAAAGATCCTGGAACGTCGCGAATCCTGTGGAAGGCAGCTTCATGTACTTGAGAGAGCCCTAAGACTTCATACGCTGCTCAGCGATGGGCGTATCCACCACAAGAGGAACAGAGGTGACAGAGAAAAGCCGTTCGACATTGCCATGGGCATCATTGGGCTTCTGCTCCTCTGGACCTACTCCTACTACGACAGCATTAACGTGACCAGGTAAATCCCTCTCTCTACTATTCACCCGCGTAATTTTGCTCCTAAAACGTTTCCTCTTCTAGGTTTCTGGGAGAATCCGTAGGCATCATCGGTACCGGGGACTCGGAGAAGCCTCGCAACACTGCCGTGTATGAAGTGTCTGCTCTTCTGGACAGATGTCGGCAGCCATAAGAAATCAGCCAAAGGATGACCAGGCTGCGGGTCCGTTGTCGCCCTCAACGCTTATTATGTCAGAGCGCATGTCCAAGATTTCCTCTGTGGCGGATACGGTGCCACGCTCAACATCACGTTACGTTTGCCTGCAGCACCACCACGAATGTCAGTAAAATGCTGGCCCATCAATCCCATCAATGAGCCGCCCTGCTCCACCGCGATCTGCGACTAGTCCGACTCCAATTAAAAGAGCAAAGAGATACAGGAGGAGGAGTTGGAGCATGGCTTCGCCAAGCATCCCACCGAACACCAATTTTTTTTATAGATTGATTCGAAATTTTTAAATACACTTGTGCAGGTTCGTATTATTTGGTTGCTCTAGCTCTTATAGTCTCTGAGCACTAGACGCTCATAGGGACGGACAGACAGACATGGCTTAATCGACTCGCTCAAGAATTGGTTCTGCCGACCGTAATTATAAATTGTATAAAAATTAAATTTATGACGGGACAAACCTTCACAACGTAGGAGCAACACCAATAGAGAGTAATATTAATTATAGTTGAGTTACACAGTGTAAGACCTTCAAAAAGTATATTATTTTATCCAATCTATATGCCTGAGGATATACAAATTCTGGACAGAAAGAAAAAATTATGGTACTGAACCAGCAGATTCGAGATTTATTCGACAAGAGAATAGATGCCTCCACACAACTGAACCTATTACTGACTGGGAATGATTGGACTTGCCATTTTGAGGAGATAGATTTCTAGTCTGGTTCCCTTTTAAAATCTTTTAAAGTCTTTTAAAATATGGTGTGAAGGTCTGACTTCACAATTTATAACATTTCCTTCGAACGCCTGTACGAAGCTAATGACTTGGGCATTATCTTTGTACCTAAATTATATTTTAATTCTCATATATCTGCTATTTCGAATAAACCCGAAGGAGTCCTTGGCCTTATGAAAAGGTAGTCTGAGGAATTTTCTTACCAATATACCATAAACTAATCTACTTTTCTCTTTTCTGGTTCCTGTATCTGGTCTCCTCACTACCAAAAATATCAAGATATGTTCCTGGTACCATATTAGTTTACAATAAATAGTTCCATAATTTTCCCGTTGATACTTATGCTTCCAATGTCAGGTCTTAATTAATGAATAGTTTAAGTTAACTTTCTTCTGTTTTGAATTGTTTAGCGAACTTGCTAGTAGCAGATAATTTATGATTTGTACATTCTTCTTTCTACACAGTTTAACTGAACTTAGAACATATGCTTCGTTCATGAGTGACTCGACCAGCAATAGGGACGCCTGCAGGCACTGGATGGCCATCTCAATGATGGCTCTGATTGTGGGACTTCACGTCCACCTGCTTGTTCAAATAGTCTACGAAGGTGCGGACACAACTGCACAACTGTAGTATTTATGTGATTTGAGCTGAACAATTTTTAAATACACACATAAGAAAAATAATGACCTATGTTGTCTCCTTTATTATGAGCGAATTGTCTCGGACTCGACAGCCTGTCAGTCCAGGCTTAAAAAATGGAAAGTCAAACATCGCGTGGTCCTCATGGAACATTCTTTTTAGTATGCAACAACCGCTTAGGCCCGTAAATTCAGTATACGTATTGTATTAAGGATCTTGTGACTTTGAGTATATTTCTCTTATATGGTGGTGTCATCTTACAAAATCCACGCAGGCAAAAAGTCGTCAAAAATATTTGTATGGCGTTACACATTTTACTATTCAAATAAGAATTACAATTTTAAATAGATGTATTGGATCCGCTATATAAATATATTCCGGGGAAAACTATGAGTAAATGAATACATTTTAATAAAATTTCATTCTTTTATTTTATAAATAAAGTTTATAGTTAAACGGTGCTCTATTTCAACATGAATTTTTATTGGATGAGAGATTCGTAAAGTGAATAACCATCAATGAAGTAATGTATAAATTGAAACAAAGGAACATTGGGTTTACTTTTTGGCTCTGGACTTGGGCTTGGCGGCCGTCGAACCAGCGGTCGACTTCTTGGATCCGCTCGCTGCCTTCGACGTGCTGGCAGCCGTGGACTTCTTTTTGGCCTTGATCAGGCCATCTAGCTCTAGGTTGTCTTTATCCTCGTCCTCATCCGAGTCTACGCGATTGGTTTCGCCCTCCTCGAGGTCCTCTTCCAGGCCCAGCAGCTCCTCATCGGCGGCACCTGCCTCCGACTTTTTCTTCTTGATGTTCGCCTGGGCGGAGTAGGAATAGGCCATCACTTCCTTGTTGTAGGACCGCGTCAGGGCCGCCTTCACGCGGCCATCCACGGCATCCAGCGGGGACTTCTTGCCCGGCCAGGCGGTCAGCTCCACTAGCGAGTCGAGATCCTCACGCAGCAGGTGGTAGTCCTTCATTACGTCCAGTGCAGCGGACACTCCATCCTGGCCATCTTTGGCCAGCGGACGGGCTATGTTGTCCAGTAGAAAGGGAGCGTAGTCCAGCCGGACGGAAAGCCTGGAGCCGGAGGTGCAAGACCTAGTGTGATCATGCAGCTCCTGGGCCAGTCTTGCCCGTTTCGTGGTCCGCGAGTTCTTGCCCAGCCAGCCGGGGAAGTTGATCTGCCCCGTGAAGTGGCCTGCCATTTTCTCTCCCGGGAGAACAGAGCTGAAAAATGCCTGCGTGGGCAGCAGACTCCAGGCGGAGTTGGCACGGATTCGTTTATCTATCATATCGCCAATACTAAGGGCATCCGCAGTGGCTGCCACTTTGCCCTGAATATCCTTTCTGAAGCAAAATATGATAAAAGTTAATAAACTGATTCCTATTAGAGGATTTACCGAGACTCACTTATTGCCCTGTGGCGTGACCTGGAGATAGTTCTGCTGGACAAACAGTGGCGCCAGACTGTAGTCGTGGAAGAATAAATCACATTTATCGGCGAAAGACATCCGCTTGTGCTCCTCGGCGGTGAAGACCTTGCGCACCACTTCCCAAGGTCCCAGCTTCAGATCTTTGGAGGCCGTCTTCAGCTCCACCTTAGCCTGCGATTGGGTGGGAATATCTTCTCCCGCACTCATCAGGGAAATGTGATTGATGGACTGGCGAATATCGTTGTTTGTGGCTGCTATGATCTCCTCCACTTTGGCCGGCGAGATCTTGACCTTCTCCTTGAAGCATATGCTCATGATCTTGCCTTTGATCTGCTCGAGACGCGGCCGCTGGAAGCGCAGGTCAAAGCAGTAGTTGACGAGAGATCGAATCTTCGGGTGATTGCGATCGTTGCACATGCAAATGATGGGTACGGAGCTGTCCTTGATAAGGGCAATTAGCTCCTGCATCCCGCCGCGATCCTCGTTGCCAGCCATGCCGTCCACCTCGTCCATGATTAGCACATGCTTTTTGGACACCGCCTGCGACTGTCCATTAACGTAGCCATAGAGGGACTTGTTTCCCAGCAGGGTGGATACCTCATCCTTGAGTAGACGCTTGCTCCGAGTGTCGGAGGCATTGAACTCCACCGCATCGAAACCCAGTTCCTTGACCACTAGCGTAGCTGTCGTTGTCTTTCCTATTCCTGGTGGTCCCGACAGCAGGGCAGCCTTGTAGAAGCTACCATCGTCGTTCTTGGCCCAGGGATTGGGTCGCTGCGCCTTCTTCTTGCCATCGTGGCTCACATACCACTTGGACAGCCAGTTCATCAGCCTGCGCAGGAGATGGTTCAATAGAAGGTGGACATGGGGGTTACTTTACTCACTTGGTCACGTTGCTGGCTGCTCCGGCCTGGCCCACGATCTCCTTGATGTTCGTCGGCTTGTGTTTGTCCACCCAGGCCATGCTGCCCAGATCTAGGGGCTTCACAACGGGCCTGGTCTGAGCTTGGGAAGTGTCTATGGATGTGGGCTCTTTCTTCACCTTGACGGCGACTGCTGGCACAGACTCTTCCTTATCCTTCTTCACCTTGACGGCTTCTGCTGGCACAGACTCTTCCTTCTCCTTCTTCACCTTAGAATCCATCTTCTCTACTTTGGCCAATGATTGATCCTTCACTTCCTTCTTTACCTTGGGCTCTTCCTTCTTTGGTCTGGACTCGCTCTTCTCCTCCTTCTTTGGACTCTTAATCTCCTCTTTCACCTGCTGCCTCTTGCCCTGTCCCGACTTCTCCCTGATCAAATCGAATAGTCCATCCTCGCTCAGGATGGTCACGTTCAGCTCCTCCGCGGTGGCCAATTTCTTGGGACCAGCCTCCTCCCCCACCACCAGATACATGAGCTTCTTGCCCACCACCGTCATCACACGGCCGCCGTACTCCTTGATCACCGACTCGGCCTCCTCCCGCTCCATCGACTCCAGCACGCCGGTGACCACAAACGTGAGACCCTTCAGGCAGTCGGGTGTTCCCTTTGGTATTTCCTTACTGCCGGGATTGAGGCAGGCGCTGCGGTTCTTGAACTTCTGGTAGAGGACTGCCGACATGCGCTTCCGCTCGTGGCGCTCCTCATCGCTCAACACGCTGGTCTCGAGGTCCGCTGGCGGCTTCTCCTTCTTCACACGTGGCGTCGTGGTCTTGCCCTTAGCTTTCGACTTTGGTGTGTCCGGACTGCTGCGCTTTGGGGGCTCCGGACTCTTGGGCTTTGCTGCCTCTGGACTGATACGCTTTGACGGCTTCGGTGGCTTTGGACTGCTCCTCTTTGACGGCTCCGGGCTGCCGGGCTTGGCTCGTTTGCGCGAGGGCGACTTGGGAGCAATAGCCACTCTCCCTTTCTCGTTCTCTTTAGGTTCCGCTGCCCTTACGCTTTCATCAAAATCCACCTCCATGAGACTCTTATCGATATCCTCATCCTCAAACTCGATGACAGCCTTCGTCTTTTGCTTCGGCTTCTCCACGCGCATGGTCTCGCCACCAAACAGCTGCGTTGGATCCACCTTTTGCACCGGCTTCAGCTTGGAAAGCGATGGCTTCTTTCCTCCAACACCATTTGTGACACGCTTCTTTGCCTGCGATACATCTGGACTGGCGACCACCTTGTCCTCATCGCTGCATACGGCCTTGCTGCTCGTCTTGCGTTTCTTTGGCTCCTGCGGACTCGCGGCTATTTCCTCTTCATCGCTAGATATGATCATGGGCTTGCGGCGTTTTGGCGCCTTCGATGGCGTCTGCTCTTCCTCATCAGATTTTTTTGTTTTGCCTGGCAGCCGCTTGAAGAATGCGTCAATGTTCTAAGGGCAAACAATTAAATATGGGCTTGATAACCAAACACTTCACAACATACCCTTTGCATTATAGCACTTGTATTTTTAAATTTTAAGATTTGTACAATGCATGGATTTCTTTCTGCCGCCGCGATGGTTTATGGTTTTTGGGGTTATGTTTTTTGTTCACTTCGGTCACACTAGCCCAGTGCTGCCGACTACGCTTTTTCCCGTAAGAATGGATTTTTTTGAAGACCACATGCGGGAAGCTTGAAATTTTTGATTTTTTATATTTTGACTTTTTTTGAAGCTGCCACTGGCTAAGAAAATGTGGCCGGTTAATCATTATATCTTAACGATATTTGCTAGTTTAACAGATAATTTAGAAATTCTAAAACAGGTTGTCGTTTTTCCGTCAACAAAATCTTGTGCGCTAAGAAGAATGGAATTTTCAATTTTGATTACCTTAAATTTGAAAATATTTAGAAATTTAAGGCAAATCATGATAAAGAGAGAAAATATCAGAGACAGCACTAGGTTTTGGAGGCTTACTTCTATAGATTGAGCGGGCATTAAGCCAGATTAATCTCGTTAAGACAAAACTAAGGAATTCCATGGAACTAAGCAGGAAAAAAAATTCGAATCAGTATTTAAATATACAGGTATAGCTCGGGAAGACTTTGAAAATTCTGTTTTAACTACGGAGTGACATGTTGTACGAAAGAGAATCAGAAGCTAGCCCCACAGAACTGGATGTGTTAATGAAAATTATGTAAAATACATATTCAATATCACTTTAATAAAAAATTGTTAACACCACTATTTACGCTTTTTTAAATTTCATATTGAAAATTTTCAGCTTTTTTTTCGTTTTCTTTAAGTTAGACCTGTTCATGCACTTGAAAACTGCGCTTAACAGCACTGTATTAACATTCTCAGCTCCTACCAAACAGCTTTTGTGCAGTAGCAGTTTGAAAATTCATGTATAATTGGTGTTTGGCAATAAATTGCAAATTGAAAGTTCAAATAGATTTGAAAGGCTAACCCTTTTTATAAAATCGGAGAAACAGAAAATAATTGTAAGGCTACTTACCGAAGTTAGAGTGCAGCTCGTCAGAACTTTTGTTCATGTCAGCCTGAGCTTGCGCGGCTGCAATTCAAAATTCAAATTAAAACTAACACATTAAAAGTATTTAAAATTCCATTTTAAACCTTCTACAAATTACTTTTCACCACGAAAAAAGTTGAACAACAAATCGGCTTACATTCTTATGCATTTACCATGTTATTTGACGTATGCTTCATCAATCTTCCGCTAATGAAATGCAATCTAATCAAATCAGAGACGAAATCACATCATCAACGGCACTTTACATCGCACTGAAGTCAATCCCCAGAGCACACAAGCTGTTTTGTTGCATTTACAGGGCATTAGGGCCTCCACCCCGCTTTTCACAGCCCTGGGCGCCCAGATTACACGCGCAATTAAGGGTTGCGGACAGCCGACACCCCCGACAACACCACCCACAGTTGTGGCACTCTGGTGCGGCTTGCGGCCTGTTGCACGTGCTAAAAGCCATCAAATGTTACCCTTGGGGCCGCTTTTGAATGATCGTTTGCTGAACACCGATTTTGATTAAAATTTATATAAACAAACGTTTACAGAGACGGTAAGGGAAGAGCTAGGCAGTTGATTTATAGCCCTTTTGGCAAACTTTTCCTTATTTAAAGATCAAATTCACTTTTTTAAGGCGACTGTGCCCCACACTTCATAAAAAGAAGGACAGCCCTATCAGTCAGCATTCAACAAGTGGAATCTATTCATTCATTGATAAACCACAAAAAACGTATGCATCCAAGCAGAAAAACCAAAAAATACATACATTTTTGGGTGAAAACATGCAAAAAAGGGTTGCAGTAGCCTGACAGACTGACTGATGCGAAACCACATGACAGAGTTCCCACACTCGGAAAAACTATGAATATAAATTGACTTCGGGTGGATTCCAATCCCTTTGGACAGGCCTTAAATTATGCGCCCGAAAGTCGTCGGTAAGTAAATAAATACAAATCTGGGGTTGGACCGGGACCGGGACCGGGACCGACCCGCCCACTGAGCGCATTTCACACGGATTTATTACATTTGCATTTGATTTTCCCGATTATGTGACATTTTGCCTCTGCAAAGTGTTAGAGTCATGATGGTGGGTTGTGAGCTTTTCAGCGAGGGGTTCGCTTTTCTCATTGTTTTCCACTAATTTGGGAATGGCGTGTGATGGAAAACACTTGTTCTCTACTCTTTGCTGCCTCCCGACCCTCACTTATCGATCATTAGCAGAGGGCTAAGCCTCAGCCCCCCGTCACTCGCCTCTGACTCCACCCTGTTTAATCGTGATTAATTATTTTGACGCATTATTTTGATTCGATATTTATCAAAGTGTCGCAAAATGCCGCTTAGCCTTTTATTATGTTTGCTTAGCTGATTAATCTTTTAAGGGGGGGATTCGTGTAGTTGACTTTTATGAACCCCAACGCCTTATATAACCTTCTTGGCAAACAAATATATACATACATACATTCTCGTACTGTATTTATGTTAATTCTGTGCTAATGTTAGGTATTAACTAATGAAATATTTGAGCTTCCAGGTAGATTGGAAAGAGTACACCTACTCCCGTGTTCCAGTGCCCAGCCCATCAAAAATACCTTAAAAGGTTAATTGTACATTCAATAATGGCCATAGATATAATTTAATTAAATCGAACTCCACCGCACCGCATCGCATCGACCAGAACCCAACCCAAATCGAACGAAAAGCCAAACTGAATAAAGCCCACACGGAGCGCCGCGATCGAGGAGGGAACAAGTTTCCCATGGATAGAAATTAATAAAATTTGCAATTTACAATTTGGAAGCGACTTATATATCAGTGGGAAAACATGGCGCGATGTGCGCAGAAAACATGTTCAACAGTTAATAAAACAAATAATTGCATCGTGTGTGCAATAAAAAGAAGGTTAAACGTGGCCCAGGCCAAAGCCATAGAAAGCTCCACAGCACCAGAGAAAGAGAAAGGGAGATGTGAGTGAGAGGGACAGAGCAGGGGAGAGTGGGATAGACACAGAGACGACAACTAATCATCAGTGGAAGGAGCAAGACCTAGACGAAGCGAAGACGTCGCGCCAATTGGAATTGCAAATCTCCCATATGTATGAGAAAGAGAAAACGATTGTAAGGTTGTAAAGGGAGAGAGAGATAGAGGAGCTTCTTCGAGGATGTGGCAGAACAGGAGCGGTCCCAGTTTGTTAAGGCGAAAGAATTAAACTACAATATAATATGACTAGAGTAATTACAAGGAAAGGTTTTTCTATACAGCATATGATATTTTTTAAAGAGTATAAATTTGATATAGTAGTTTCTCATATAAATAAATAATATATCATTTTAAAGTGTAGATAAAAGCACCAAAGTATTCCAACATCATTCCCTTAAAACCAATCGCAAGATCCCCCTCCACATCCTTTATAGCGCTCCTGTCAGCTAACATACTCACTTGTACATACATTGGCCCCGTCTAAGACAAAATGGTGGAGTCATGGACGATGACGATGTGGATGTGGATGGGAATGACGACGACGACGACGACTAAGACCACGACGATGGGGACGCTGCTGATGATGAGAAGGAGTAGGACACACAGGTTCATTCTCCCATAAATACGCTCAGCGGGTGTTAAATATTTTGTACGACTTCTGCAAGTCCTCAACTTCGGTCGGACTCTGCAAAAAGACTCTCTGTCCAGGGCCCAGACATGGCTCTCTGCTATCTCTTAAACAAACGCACAACTTTTGGCCCAAACGCCTTTGTTCATCAATTAAGCTGTCTGTCCACTGTCCTGCTCCTGCTCCTACTCCTGCACACACACGAAAGAGACGGAGCTATATGGCAGAAGGGAGACAGAGATATATGGGGTACGAGTGAGCATGGGGTACGGACGGGGGGTGGGGGCCATTGGAGACACATGCTATGGCTTGTAAATTGTGCGTCGGTCAGAAATTGAAATATGGCGTCGCAACGCAGGCAAATTGAAATCAATGAAAATGCTGTATTCCTCTGACTAAAGTGTGGGGAGGGGTTTCAGAGGGGGAGTAGGAGTAGGAATGAAAAGGAAAATTCAGCTTTCTTAAAGGGAATTTCTGGGATAAAACATTCCGTAGAGGGCTTTCCATTAAAGCAATGGCTGACAGACTGGAACAGCAATATGCCACTCTGTATGTGATCTCTTATTCAGGCTCTGCAATTTGATCATCAATTAGATCGTATATTTAGCCATTAAAGTATCCATTCTTCTAACCCAAAGAAGACTCATCTTTAATAATTACGACATCCACCACTTTAATGGAATACTCTAATCTCGTAGACATTTATGACCAGGATATATCCGATTACCTTCCTATTGGGTAAGCCACCGAGCTGATCTGAGCAATTCGGTGGCTTTCCTCCACTGTGGCGCCTCAAACTGATGGAATCCCATAGCTATCCATGCCTATTGAGTAGCTGCCTCTGCATCTACCATGATCGCTGCTCCTCGAACTGTTTATAGATATATTTTAAATGCCGATAAAAGCGCATGTACGACAAGCAACTAAACAAGAGACAGAACATGCCATCATTACCACCAACCGATCCAAACGGACAGCGCCGAACTAAGGTGAGCTGCAGAGCCGATGCTGCGCCATGTTTGATGATTAAATCTCGAAAATGTTAATGATGCCGAAAGAGGCAGCCGTAAACGAAGCCCAGAAGAAGGGGCTCCAATCGAATCGGCCGGGCGACAGATGGAACCAAAACTCAGACATGGAAATTAGCTGACGATTGGAGCAGGCTCGGATGGGGCTCAGAGGAAGGGGCACAAGACGAAGACTGCTTCCATATCGATCGTTAAATGAACGCCAAGGATCCCCATCGCCATTCGGGATCGATATCGGGATCGGTTTTCATTTGACGCGCTCCGCTCTGGCGGCATTTTCATATTGATTAACCAGACTGAGCCCTCGTTCCCTGCCCTGCCCCTCCATCCAGAACGATCAAAATACCTATTAGCAATTAAAAGACAGACAAAAAATACTGAAATCTTATGACAAGTTGAGAAAGTCGAGTCTA